AGGCTTAATTCATATGACAACATTGTTGATTTTTATATTTTAAGTTAGTATTATTTTGATTTCGGAACTTACAACATGTATAAAGTCTTATCTTGAATTCTGGATGTTTAACATCAAGTCTTAACTTAGAAAATAAATAAGTAAAATAAACTTAGGCAAATTCAGGTGCTAGCTGTGAAAATATATATATTGACTATATTATTATTTTATAGTCAATATATATATTTTCACAGCTAAAGAAATTAATGAAATAACATCAACGCTGGACTTTCGTGTTATAAAATACAAGCATTAACAAAGAGGATACTGGATGTCACTGAGTAGAGAAAAGAAAATCATACTACAGTATCCCATACCACAAGCAACCGAGGGTTTCCGCGTAGGGCGCTCACTACGCCAGCGAGTTCGATTTCCCCAAACAAACCCAAAGCGAAGACCCTGCCGGCGACCCTTGGCTACAAATGTATTAGAAAAAGATTTCACTAAACATGTATAACTATGAAACTACCAATAAATGCCTAATCCTATTTTTGTAAAAAATAGGTCTAAAACTCGTAATATATTGTTATTGTAATTTTTGTCAAGAGAATTATGTGTGTGTCACTGTCTGTCTGTTATTTTTTTTTTGGAATTCATTTACCTGTTGTTTTTTTTTTAAACTATTTTACCGTATCAGTCACAGTTTAGAGGTGTTCACCATTATGCACATAAAATATGTAAGCGGTCGGACAGCTCAGTTGCTAGAGCCGCGGTATGGTATTCTTAGGGTCACGGGTTCAAGTCCATGTCAGGCTGCACATTTTTCTCACTCTGTGACTGACATATAGCCCAGCCAGAGTTTAATTCACATTGCTCTGTAACCCTAGGCAATTCGAAGAAATATTTCCATATACAGTAGGTTTAGAACCATTCAGTATTTAAGCAAATACAATGTATAAGCGGCCGAATAGCTCAGAGGGAAGAGCCGCGGAATGGTATTCCGAGTGTCAGGGGTTCGAGTCCTCGCCAGGCTGTTACATATAAATATATATCTGCTAATTAGAAAATAAAGGAAAAGGGAAGGAACTATCTAAATTAAATATCCAAAATAGTACTTTAATGTACATATCACAATAATATTTCTTTATATTATATTTCTATTCTTCAAAAGAGACAATGAACATCTTTTACATGTTAAAGAAACTCGAAGTTTACAAAATATACCTATTTAAGATATATCTTCTCAATAGAAACAGACACAAAACACGGTACTTAAACGTTTAGACGAACGCAGACGCACCCAAAACGTTTCTTGGGATAACAAACGCACACTTTCAAACACAAGATAAACGAAACACGAAAAACGGTAAACTTTAAATGCTTGTAAACGATGCACGCTTGAGAAAGCGTTTTATCAAACGCATGTTGCACGATATATACGCATGCACGTTATAGTATTACGAAAAACGCACGCAAGAAAAACGCTATTTTAGACAAAAGAAACGTTCACCAGTCTGTACCAATAAAAAACACTGCGATCATGGTAGAATAATTCCTATTAATTTGGTTGAGGTCCATAAGGCAATAAAAGATCTAAGTGTCAAACATTAAGCTCTTTGACAAGACAATTTGAGAATAAGGTTTATAATATTTTACATATACGTATATGAATTGTATATACGTTAACTATGAAGTGACCCCAGGGCAGAGAAAATAATTCCTGGAACCAATATTCATAGACTTTGCAGAGATCCATAGGCCCTTATAAGTGTTACATATCTAAATTCTGATCACTAATGTCTAGAAGGAAAATATTCTAGACCTTAAGTCCTCTTACAAATGGGTGTAACAAATCTGACCAAGGGGTGGGGAAATTTTGACCTAAGGCACAGACATTTTGAAATTACTATAAATTGTTAAGCTCATACAACTAGACACCGCATCATGTCAAATATCTTTGCTTAAGATCATATATATATATATATATTATTATACATGTATAGTGTCAATTAGCATTGTTCTTTGCATGTCTATTTAAACCTTAATCTTGACCCTATATACAGAACCACAGAAGCTTGAAATAATTTCTATCAATAATCGCTCTAAAGTCCGATTAAAAAAACCCATACCTAAATATAAAAAATATATATTGATTATTTATACAATATCATATTATCTCAGATACAATGTAATTAACTGCATAGCTTTCATTGGTAAAGCATACTGTACAGTGCCTAAATTTAGATATTAATATATTAAACTAGAAGGGTTTTAAAATGTCACAAAAACATATGTCTTCCAAAACGATGTATGGTCAATCATGTGAAGTTTCGTTGAAATTCAACCAGTAGCTTGACCTGTGAAAGCCAGACAAGATTTTTCAATTTATAGCTCTAACGGCCATTTTGTGCAGCAAAGCGGGAAATGCCGGTAAAGTGCACAATAAGGGTTAGTACAGATCATTCCTGTAAAGTTTGGTTGAAATCCCACCAAATGTTTGACCTGTAAATGTCGGACAAGATTTTTCTATTTTTAGCTCTGGCGGCAAATTTGTGCAGCGAAACGGAATATGAAAGTGATGTGCACATGTAGGGATGGTACTGATCACTCCTAAAAAGTTTGGTTGGAATTCCACCAGTATTTTGACCTGTGGAGGCTGGACAAGATTTTTCTATTTTTAGCTCTGGCGGCAATTTTGTGCAGCGAAGCAAAATATACCGGTGATGTACACCACTAGGAATGGTACTGATTACTCCTGTAAAGTTTGGTTGAAATCCCACTAGAAGTTTTACCTCTGAAGGCCAGACAAGATTTTTCTATTTTCAGCTCTGGCAGCCATTTTGTGCAGCGAAGCAGACTTTGCCGGTGACGTGTACAACTAGGCATGGTACTGATCATTCCTGTAATGTTTGGTTGAATTCCCGCCAGAAGTTTGCCCTGTGAAGGGCGGACAAGATTGTTCAATTTTTAGATCTGGTGGCAGCGAAGCTAAACGTAACGGTGATTTACACAACTAGGGATGTTCCTGATTACCCCTGTAAAGTTTGGTTGAAATCCCACTATTAGCTCGACCTGTGAAGGGCGGACAAGCTTAATGCCGACGGACGGACAGACGAACGTATTGACGAAATGGTACTTATGTTACTTTTCCTTTGATATTTTGAGCCATATTTAGTCACACAAGGCATAATAAAACACACAAGTAAAAACGGAATGAATAGAAACAAAGAGAATTTACTGTTACCTATTGATCTCCAAGTCACACAAGTACCTTAAGGTTTGAACGGACAGACAGAGGCGAAGACAAAAACAATATATGTCTCCAAAAAATTATGGGATACATAATAATAATGTAAGATACAATAATGCCAATCTTACAGCATTTCAAAGGAACAGTAATCATTCTTATTATTATCAAGTGTAGTGTAGTGTATACATGTATAGTATAGTATAGCTTTTTTGTTAGTATAGTATAGTATAATAAAGTATATAGTATAATACATGTAATATAGTATATAGTATAGCTAGTATACTAGTATTAAAGAGTAATATAGTATATTGTATAGTATATAGTATATAGTATAGTTTAGTATAGTATGGTATGGTATGGTATGGTATTGTATGATATGTAACAGCTTAGATCATTGAAAGCCTAAAACAATCTTACACGAAACTACATTTTCCGTTTTTCGAAAAAATACAACTTAAATGAATAACAAGACAAAAACATAAACAACACATACAATTATCTGTGTAAATCGGCCTTCCGCTCTATCTCGGAAATGCCGTTCGCTCGTTTTACCGTACACCACAATTTTGAAGTGGAGCGACAGTTTGCCAGGCGTGCTGAAGATTGATGAAAAAACTATGGAGTTATAATTAGTACGGAAAGATAAAACATTAAATCAATTGTATTTATTGTTGCTGCATAAAAATGTACCAAGTTTAAAATAATAATAAGAAAATAAAAATAGATAAAATATGAAAAACAAGATCAACAAGGAAAGGCGGCGTTCAATGAACGCAACCCCCATATGACCCAGCAACAAGAACCAATGGCAAGGAGCCCAGGCGGACCCCAAACATAAAAAGGACAGGGCAACGACACGTTAATCATTAAATGATAAATAATTTGTAACTGATTAGGAATTCAAAGAAAATAATAATAGGCCCACAAAGGGGAAGGGGACAGGAGACCGGGGGAAGGGGGGGGGGGGTTAATCAAAGAAATAAAAACTAGAGGCAATGGGGAAGACACTTACCGCAGACGAGAAAACAACAAGGGACACAAGCAAAAGTGTCACCAAAACAGTATGAAACAACACAGACATACATCTGAGGAACACAGTGGGGCGCCGCCTTGGAACGGTCAGCAGCATAATAATGACTGCTGGGGAGTTTAAACCGGTTAATGGTGCACCAAACCTCGCTCTTAGCCCAACCATTTTCCTATAAACGAGACAGTGTAAATAAAATGAATCCCCGCCAAGTGAAATTCTAACAGTTGTCATGGTTACAAAAGGTTAAATAAGTAAAACACTAAAATGATCATGTAGAAACATATAAAAGTAAACCCAATGACCATAACAAAAAGTACTCAATGTCCTAAAGGAAGACAGAGCAACAAGAAAATCACCTACAAGGGCCCGACGAAGCAAGGCAGAAGACGAACATTAAGACAATTCAGTCCAAAGGGCTTTACGAACTATCCATCATAGAGTCTCCCACTTGGTCCGTCAGATGCAATCAAAAGAGGAAAGCGTAGTGTCCAACTGTAAAGGGTTGAACACTAAACATGCAGTATGTCTTAAAATAGTAGGGTCATAACCTCTTTTAATAAAACGTTTAATAATTTTAGTAAAAACAGCAGAAAAATTACCATGACCCAAAATCTTACGAAGTTGTAAACCACATCGCCATAAAGACCAGGCTGGCTAATCCCTTGTCGCAGAAGAGTTTTTAAATCACTATTGAATTTAGAAATTGAATCAAAGTTACGATTGTAAAATTTAGTAAAATATTTCCGTAATTTATGATAGCGGTAGCCCTGTTTTAGAAGCTTGCTGGTAATAAAAATATTCCGCTCGTTGAAATCCTTAACGTTGTTACAAGCTCTAGCGAATCTAATTAACTGAGAAACATAAACCCCGTAGGATGTTGCATGGGGTACGTCTCCATCCAAATGTGGATAATTAACTATACAAAAGTCAAAGTCATCTCTTTTATCATAAATTTTCGTGTGAATAGAATTGTTGTTGATAGTAATATGAAGATCCAAAAATGATGTACTAAAATTTCAAGAGTTCGTTTTATTAAGTTGTAGTTCATGCGGATAAATGTCAGACACCATTTGATCAAAATAAGGATTATCTAAATTAAAAATATCATCAAGGTATCTGGAAGTATTATTAAATGCGACTATAACATCTTGTTGTTTCTCTTCAGAGAGACTCAACATAAAGTCTCTTTCATAGCAGTACAAAACAAATCGGCGACCAGGGGTGCACAATTAGTACCCATAGGAATTCCTATGATCTGTTTAAATAGGGTATTACCAAACCTGACATAAATGTTGTCTAAAAGAAAAGAGAGTGCTCTACAAACTTCGTCACAGGTCCACATAGTATAATGTTTAACAATACCGTTAGTAAAAAAAGCTTTGTTCGAATTACATGCTAGAAAGGTAACTTTTTCCCGTGCAAAAGTTTTCTGAATTAGGGAAATTAGTTTATCATTGATTAATTTATGTGGCAAAGTTGTATAAAGTGTAGAAAAATCGTATGTACTGACAGTTGAAGCTTGAAAGTTATTAATTTTGAATTTATCCAAGATTTCAACAGAATTTTTAATTGACCAAAGGAGATTTTTGCCTGTGTTTTCATAGACTTTATCACAATATCTAATTACATGTGTTTTAATGGCAGTCAAACAAGACGTCAATAAAATAGAAAGTTTACTTGTAGTGCAAGATGTAGAATTAGCAATAAATCTGGCTTTGTAAGGTTTTTTATGTAATTTAGGAATCCAATACATAATAGGAAGTTTGAGTTCTTTTTCATTAATTTGGACTTTAAGATTGGAAATATTAGTAATATGATTGTTTACAATGTCTTTTTCGGAGGCAGAGGTTTTAGAATACGCATTAGTGCTATTTAGTTTTTATAACTTATTTTTTATATACAGAAACATCACTCCATCCATAACACTTCCATAAGATAATCCAAGGTGTCTAATTATGTGCACATTTAAAGCTTTTCCTTATCTATCTACTGCAGTAAATATTTGATTAATAATAACAAATGATGTCTATTTCATAATCTATTTCCAAGTTCAGTACTTTGTTGTTGTTGTTTTGAATTCAAACACGTACACTCCAGACTTCAAATTGCCATCACGTATGACCACAAAATTGTCTGATTTTTTTTTTATAAATGTTTTAAACTCTTTAAATTCTGCTTCTGTTTTTATATCACAACCTCTCACATATACTGTCACTGTATGTGGTAGTTTGTTTATAACAGTAATGAGACCATATAACGCTGAACAAAACATTGTTATATAACACAAGTTAACAAATTCAATATTGTTCATTTTAGGTGTCAGTGTTAATGATCTTTCACCTAGATTCATTCTCTGTAACCTAACATCTTTTATGTGATATAAAAATGGTAATGTTTGAAGCATTGTGTCTATGTCACTAGAAGATTCTAGATAACTACATTCAAATGACTGTAGTTTATTGGCAGCTGTTAGTTGACTGAGATAAGATGACACAACACCAGGTTTATATAAATTACCTACATCACACTCCTCTAACAACGATACATCCATGTTTAATTGTGAAACAGGTATCTCGCCAAATCCTAAACATCTTAGTTTTGAATGTTGAGACAGGTCAATGTTGAATCCCCTACATGAAGTATTCTTGTGATCACTACAGTATAAACCGTACAATCTTATTTCTTTCATTGTTTTTTTACTAGTGAGGAAATTTAACAATGTCTTCATTACCTTGTGGGTCATAGTGAAACAATGTATATTTAAAACCTCCAGGTGATGTAATTGTACCAGTCGTCTATTTATCACTGCAGACAGCCGGCAACTATTTTCTACAAATTGATGATTTTCCCATTTACTTGATAACACAGTTAAACATTTTAAAGGGTTCAACAACAAGCTCATCATTTCTTTTTTTACAATTTCTCCATAATAGAATAATTTTTCTATCTGTGGAAGATCAGAGAGTGTAAACAAATTGACAATTTTTTGTAAACTACAAATACCTTCATTTCGTATCATTATTGACTTTATATTTTCTTTATTTTGTTGACACAGATGTTGTAATTGTTTGAAGTAGTTTTCTTGTTGACATTTTTCATCAATGATTAAATCTTGTAAACACAATTTAAGTTCTTTGTTTTCCTTTCCTTCTTTGACACAAGAAATGTACATGTCTTGTATGTCTTGTAATGGCTTAATGTGCATGTAATCATAATATGTCAAAGTTCTGTATTTGCTTGTTTTGTCATCATTGTTTATTACAGGCATCAAATCAGTTGATATTGCAGACATTAATTCAGGGTTCATGTTACTGATGAAGACAAACACTTTTGACATGTCTAGAATATTTTGTAAACAGTTGCACTCTTCAAAGATGATTTTTTGAACATCATTTGTATTTTGAAAACTTATGAATAATGCTGAAAAGTATTCTTGCACTGTTTTATGTGAAAATGATATTTTAGAACTTTCATTTATTAACGTTTTCACTTTACTTTCTGATAATATTCCTGATAGACAGCTTGATTTTAAATCCTCTTGGTTAAGATATTTTTCAGCAACATTTTTATCAAAAACTAATGTGTGCTCCTTTTTCTTACTGAACAATGTATAAAAAGCTAGTTTCCCAATGGTCATCAGAAATGTGTAGTAACTACAGAAATGTTGATGCATTCTAAAGCATACGGGAATGTTACTTGGAGATGTTTTACACCATGAATGAAACATTCCATGTAACTTTTCAGTTCTAGATAGAAGGAGCTCAATAATGCCAGTATATAATTCTACTGCTGATTTTCCTATTGGAATTTTTGCAGTCCATAAACATATAAGATATAGTAAAAGGAGAGGAGTAGACTCCATCTCATCAAGGTCATGGTGTCTAATTTCCTCTTCAAATCTACAAACTTCATAGATCAGTTTTTCTTCTTCAATGTTGCCTTTCAATATTTTCATTGCGTTTAGGGAAAACTGCCTTACATTTTGTTTATCTATTTTAACTAGCTCTACTGTTTTGTCTATTTGATTAGTCTTCAAGTTTGACATTCCAAGCTTCCATGGGCGGGTTGTTGTTAAGATTACACACTTTTCACGTGCATATCGATGCGGTATACTTTTTGGAAGTCTTGTACAATCGTTTTCAGGATGAGTCCATTCATCTAGTCCATCTAATATAACAAGACAGTTTTCTTCACGTAAAATGTCCTTCAAAATACCTTTCGGCATTGAAGATGAGCACGCAAGATATTGTATGACTTGTTGTTCAATCATGTCGTCGACATCACAGACTTTAGTTGAATCTCTCAACTGCACCAGAAATAAAAACTCAAAGCAAGATAAAGCCTCTAATTCTTTATCTTTAAAATTGCTATAATTTTCATCATTTTTATGAGCTTGACACCATGTGATGGCGAAATATTTTGAAAAAGATGTTTTTCCAAATCCAGCGGCCGCTGATAAATATATTTCGCGTGAAACCTCTTTCCTGGGAGTAAACAGGTCCTTTAACGACTTAACTCTAGTTGTTTCTTTCCTTCCACCTGGCAGATAAGTCTGTATGTCCATTTCTGGCATAATGTAGAACCCAGCTAGAGGGGTATGGAAATCATCTGTAAGTGGTGAAAGAGGAACTGTACTCTGATTTGTGGTGTACCATGCTATAAGTTCATCCTTAAGATCTGAAATAGAAATAATATTATTTTTTATTTAGGCAGGAAAAACCCTGATCTAGGTGATGAAATAAAAACAAACACTGATATGATTAATTAATTGTAATGGTATCAGTGTGTACATATCTATTATAAAACATATATATTAAAATACAATTAATCCCACTATTAAAGAAAAGAAAAGCGAACAAAATCGTTCAGAAACAAAATGTTAAAAAATGTTCTTCCATGAAACTATTCCTTAACATAACTTTATATTAGATTCTAAATAAATAGGACATACAAAAATGTTGAAATTGATACCAATTGTATTCGTCTGCCTTTTTTTCAACTAGATAGCAGACGAACACACTTTTTTAATAATTTGTACGAAATATATAACTGAAATTCACACAAAATGTCTCAAGTATACCTTTTTGCTGTATTCACTGAGCATGTCACATGATATTTTTCTCTATGCAACCTTTCTATAAAAAAGTCACTTTCTGGTTGCCTCGGTCAATATTAAATTTGAAATGCACTAGCTTAACTGTAATGAACATTAAGCTATTAATATTAATAGTAACTATGCACAGTTGACAGGTGTCAAGGACTGCCGAAAGATATCTATGGAACACTATAATTGCCTTATAGCCCGGGCCATGGTACTTAACGTTTATCGGAAAAATATATAATATTATATAAATCATACATGAATGAGATTTTTCCTCATTCTAATAAGTGATCCTTTTCCAAAACTCTTTGCCAAAGTCTATATCAACGTATTAGTTATAAATTGTCTTTTAAAAACAAACTATTTCTATTGTTTGTCATTTTGGCAATCGGAGCATCCTCGGCTATAATCAATTATAACCTCGGAGTTAATACGAATTGAAATTAGTTCTACCACGTGGTTTCAGATATTAACAAACACAGAGGGTGTTTTTTTCTATATTTGACATCCAAAGAAACATAAAGTCTGTTTCGGTACAATTATGATTGAAAAAATATAGGAGGACCATCTTAAATGTAGAAATACCCAATGCTGTACAATTTAAACAAATCCGACTCAATGTCAACAGGTTAACATTTTGTACTGTCTGTTACTACAACAAAAATAATAAATATATAAATAATGTAGTTTTTGCTTTTGTTTTTTTAGGTGGACTTTTACTTCCAAAATTGGAAATTGGCTTGTCATCAACTCCCATCATTAAAATACTATTTGTTACATATTTAGTTTTTTTAGCGTAAGTTATACCATATCAAATACCATATCCGTACAAGTGTGTTCGAGGTCTAAATCCCAAGATTGACGGAAAGGGCAAAAACGTTGCGATTACCATTTTGGGTGATTTCAGAGGAGGTTAGTACGGTTCACAGTTTTCCCCAAAAATACTATAAAATTCAAGCTATACGAATAGATGATATGCCAGTATGTTGGATTATTACATAATAACAATATAGGGATACGGTAGTCATATATGGACATTTTTTCAAAACGTTTATGTCCCCGAATATTCATAATTCACAAAATTGAATTTATTGGCAGATGCTGTGGAATTTTATGTGACAGTTTTAAAAGTAATAGCATTGTCATATGTAATCTGAATAATTCGGCTGCAAGACCAAGCGACGTGGTTCCAGTATTCCTACATTCAAGTATTCAACTATTCTCTATTTCCTACTTAAATAGTGTAAAATCACCCTCAGGATATGTTGCCTACTTTTTAAATTTGTCTTTTGACGTCTTTTCTGTGATATGCAGGCTCAATAACCTCAGATCCCCTTTCAGAATTCCATTTTCTTTAGTTCCGACCATTGTTTTCTCGTTTAGGGCACAAGCATTCTTTTACATTTACTTGGGGACCTTACGCCGCTTTTCATGGAATGACACTACTGTGTCACGTTGAAGGTTCCATGATATCCACCGTATGAACACTTATGCGGATGTTTCTAAATTCAGATAACACCATTTTTGTGTTTAAATGATAAATTCTACTTAGGCCGGTGCTAGGGGACGTGGACGTTTACTTGCACTTTCAAGTACGGTCCAAGAACAGGCTCAATCAAACCGAGCCTGCAACATTTAACAATTTTGCCGTGTCGATTCTGTTTTTCTATATTTTATTGTCACATCCGTGTTATTTAAGGCCATGTGGCGGCTGTAAAAATTATCCCCGTACATTTAATCAATGATGTTATATTTTCGATCCTTCAAGATCGTTCAGCACGACATTATTGTTGTGTATACATTTAAGATGGTATTTTTAGTTTCTTCTACTTCTTCTGTTTCAACTTGGGCGGTACCAGTATTCCTACCTTCAAGTATTCCTACCTAAATACTGTATAATCACCCTTAGGATATGTTGCCTGCTTTTTAAATTTGTCTTTTGACGCCTTGTCTGTGATATATAGGCTTCATTACCTCAGATCCCCTTTCAAAATGCCATTTTATTTATTTCCGCCAATTGTTGTCTTGTTTAGGGCATACGCTTTTTTTTAATTCGACACCATACGCCGCTTTTCATGGAATGACACTACTGTGTCACATTGAAGGTTCCATGATAACCGCCGTATGAACACATCTGCTGATGTTTCTAAATTCAAAATGTCACCATCTGTGTGTTTAAATGTTGAATTATGCATAAGCCGGTGCTAGGGGTCGTGGACGTTTACTTGCAATTTTTACAGTACCGTCTATGGACAAGCTCAATCAAACCGAGCCTGCAACATTTTACAATTTTGCCGTGTTGGGCTTTATTTAGGGATTCAATTTACAAATTGATACATGGCACAAATGTTGTTCTTTACGAGAGGCAACCATCGTTTATATAATAATAATCCTTTTAAAGCGCATAATTTGTTGGGCTATGTCATATTTTGTTTGTACTAGCAGTTGCAGAAAAAATGTAAATACCGTGATATCATAGAACCCGTGATATTATAAGAACTCAGTATATATACATTTCTAAATTGGTAGCATCTTTTAGATAAATGGTGCTGTGGTTATGATAAATAGTAATTAATGTTGCTTTTATGGATCTGGTGCTATATGATTTTGAAAGGTGATGATGTCGTTTTCATATACAGTGACGTGGTTATGATATATGGTGAAGTAGTTTTGGTACTGTCGTTTAGATAGATTGTGGCTGTCATTATGTATATACATGGTGCTCTCTTTTCATATACTGTGATGTCATTTTGGTATAAGGTTATGTCATTTTAATTAAGTCGATGCCGTTTTAAAAGATGGTGATATGTTTCCGATAAAATGGCATTCTGGTCTTAATAGATCATGCTATCATTTTCGTAATTTTGGTAATTTCATTTTGATATATTGTTCTGTGATTTTTATATATGGTTCCGTTGTCATATATATGGTTCCAAATGACATCTCCATTCACCGAAACAACAGCATTAGATCTAATAAAACCACAGCACCATGTAGCAGAACCGCATCACACTATATCACAACCACAGCACAATCTATGGAAACTCCATCACCATCAAACAAAATGACATCACTATATATTGAAACGACATCACCATCTATAATTAAAGCCGCAGCACCATCTATAAAATGACAGCAACATAATTATGATTTAATAACATCACAATCTATCAAACCGACATCACCATATATGAAAACGATAGCACCATCTATCCAAACGACGGCACCATATAAGGATAGATATATCACCTCCGACCATAACCACATCACAAATTAGCAAAATCACAACATCTTTTATCAAAATTACATCTACACTTTAGAATGTATATAGGAAGCGGCTATGGCGTTCCATGATAATGTATTTTATTTTTTACTTTTGAAGAAACAAGCAATATGTTTTAGAAAGAATCTCGGCCGAATATAATCTTGTTGCGGGGACACAAAGGTGACATGTGTGTGTATTATTTATGTCATGCGCACAAGATACTATGTCGTGGCCACGAGTTATTGGGTTACTTAGAAACGTGATACTATGTCGTGGCCACGAGTTACTAAGTTATGGCAACGAGTTATTTAGTCGTGGCTACGAGATAGTTAAATCGTGGGAACGAGATACTATGTAGTGGTCACGAGTTACTACATGTAAGTTGTTGGAACAGGATAGTTAAATCGTGTGCACGAGATAAATAACCAATCAGATTACACGATTTATATGAATTTTCCTAATTAACTTTACTTGTGCCTTAGTACAAGGATGCCTCTACTTTATCTGCCTTTAAAAGTGCCATCTATCAAGTTATTGATTGGTCAATGATTTTACATTATTTGTATTTGTACCATGAGCATACTTTTCAATATGCTAATTGTAACACTATCGGATTTTTTTCTATATAAACGAAGAAGGCCCGAAGCGTCCATTATTCTACAACAATGTACTCGCCGTTCTTATTATCACCCTGTGTATTTTCACATTGAGGGCGCCATTTTGTTTGACAAATCTGATAAATCAAAAACAATTTTTGTCGAATTTGTTGTGAAAACTATTAGCTTAGTAGGAACGAAGGCCTACGATGCATGTCAGGAAGGTTTTTTTAAACCAGGCTCATTTTGTTTTTGAATGTCTAAATTTGAAAAAAATTTATGTTCCCAGAAAATCAAGGGTTCCCACGTTGTCCAAATTCAAGATGGCCGCCAAGATGGCCGCCAAAAATTTAAGAAAATACCATTTTTACTTAAAATACAAATACAACACTTCATTTTCACATTTTAAATTCATTTATTCATCAAGATGATCGGAATTACATAGAATTCCTGATATATAAGCAATTTTTTTACTTTAAAAGCATAACTTTTTGAAAATTGCCTTAAAATATGCTTAAAAAGGGTAAAAAACGTGTTTTTTTTTGCATTTGGCTGGTTCCAATTCGGCTCAGAAAATTATTTAACCTCTTATACAATATTTTTTCACATTTTTTTACAGATACATGATAAAGAATTTGAAAAAAAATATTTAAGTCTAGATAAAAAGTTAAATTTTAGTTTAAGGGACTATTTAAGTGGGTGGGGTAAGTGCCATCCATTTTGTGAAAAATACGCCATGTACTTAAAATACATCAAAAAGTATATAGGTCTTCTACAGCAATTTCTATGCATGGTTTTAATCATTCTTGAGATTTCCTAATCTATTTTTTAGTAATTAAAGGGTGCAAACTTATTTTTTCACACATTAAGGTGAACTTTTTGCCTTAAAAATGGCCGAAAATTTCATTTTTTAATGAAAAGCCCATCTCAATCTTACCTTAAAATTGCATAAATGCTCATTAAATTGTTGAGTTTATCTTTAATCATCAAAATACAATAGCATACAAAGATATAAATATTTTTAAAAGTACAGATGTCAGATTTAACAAAGTGCAGCATAAAAAGTGGGTGGGGTAATTACATACAATTACATGAAAAAAAGTCAAAACCTGCATAATTATATATACAAGTTATGGAAGTCTTCTCTGTCAATTCCAAAACATTATTTATCTTTCTTGTGACATTTCCATATTTTCTCAGTAATTTATTAGAAGTAACAATTTTTTTTTAAAACTTAAGGTTAACGTTTTGCAGCAAAATTGGCAAAAACACATTTTTATGGTAAATGTCTCTTAATCGCGGGAACGACTTATTTCTTAATTTACCGTAACTCTCAAAATGTTCTTCCATATATCGTCCAATGTGAACATACAACAATAAAATGAAGAAAAGACATTCTTAAGACATTCTTAAACAACAGAATATGTCACATTTAACTGTTCACAATGCCCATCTCTAAAAGTGGGTGGGGCAATAATCACCAATGAAATAAATACATAGATACACAGTTATTCTCGAACAATTCACAATGATGCTTTTGACCATTAGTTCACATGTTTGTATACTTTAGTATTAATAGTGCGAGGGATATTATACAAACTACATTTTCCTCATTTCGTTTTGTGAGGATTTAGGAACTTATCAATTTACGTGAACTTTTTAATAATTAAATGTAATGTTGACACATTGTAAAAAAAATAATAGAAAATACCCTCAGTTGCATTATATAATTACATTCATGGGGATCAAAATCTATTTCTGAAACGTTCGGATTATAACTATAGTAATTAATATCAGTACGATGTTGACTCAGCATAACACAATATCTTACAAATACACTGAGTAGAAACAAAGAATTCATTAACATGCCATACATTCTGATTATGACAGCTATATTCATTCGTCTGAAAAGACAGACAATAAATACAAATCCACAGATTTATAAAAACACAATCAACTCAATTGGAAGTATAACTATCACCAATCATCTCACTACATAACTAATCTCCCACAAAAGTTTACGGTTACTGAATGTCACTCATCATCATCTGACACTGAAATTTCTAGACAACCATCATCATCTTCTTCTTCCATCTCTGCTTGAACATTTTCGACTAGGTCAACTAACGTTGGTGGAAGAATGGGACCCTCAGCCCACAATGGTTCTAACACTTCGTTCTTTTTGGTCCACCCTTGCCCTTCATCATGTGGTTCCGGATGTTCTATCACTGGTGTATGAGCATTTTTCAAGATGCCGAGACGATGGTTGACTCTTCTGATGTGTTGGCATAAATTATCCTGGCAAGGTGGCAGTTTGGATAATTCCACCTTTGACTTCATGGTCAGCTGTTCGTCGTCTCCTACCATTTTCTTCAAAAGAACTGCCCTACATGTGTTCACAGACCTCTCCCTTGGACACCCATACATCACACAGACAAACGCTTCTAACATCTGCATAACATCTTCTTCAACTGTCCAAGTATCACCCAGCATCCTACAGACATATCAGTTAAAAATAATGACTATTATACTTTTATTTACTGTCATAATTTGTTAGAAATGTGTTACTGTTTCAGACAATTCATTTTTTTAATCAGTTACAAACATTTTACCTGAATGTTTTGTGGTATTTAGGATTACTCTGCAGCTTTCTGAGCGGTGTGACCTTTCCCTTGCCCTTAAATGCACTTGTGACATCTTCACCGGTGAACACATGCAGTCCTAGTAGAGTCTCACGGGTGTACGCACAATAGCTGACTGGTAGCCAATCGTTGATGCGTAGTGCATGTACAAAACTACTCTGGTATCTGTCTCTTCTTGGTTGGACACTAAACTGAAGATCTCCTCCGTTCTCACCTGAAGCAAACGAAAACAAAACGACCACTAGATTTTTGCCTGGATAAAATATTTTTTGTATACAATAACTAAAATATTAGTAGGTAACATTACAATTTATGTAGACTGTGGTATAAAGCTTAACATTATTGTAACTTACATCACCATTTGTCTTTTTTAACTGGTAAGCCCTTCCACCAACGACCACCACTGCTGTTCCACATCAATCTAGTCTGGATGCTGCTGACTCACTGCCCCAAACACGCAGAATAAGATTGCATAATTGTGTCTTATTGTCATCGTTGGATAGGAATTCTTTAAAGTCCGCTGGTCTACGGGTTGCAGGTCCATCAACGATGAATTTTCGACTGCAGCCTCTGCGCACTCTCTCCTGTGCCTTTATAGAGTTCGGGAAGTAGCTGTCCGTCGAAAAAATAAAGTTCTTCCTTGCAACCATGATGTCCAGAATCTGCAGACATATTCCGCCAAACGTTGGTGCAAGGTTTGTAAGCTCATGAAAGAGAGCATTACCATCTTGGATGTAAATGGTGGATTCTGAAGGAGTTGTCGCTTGTGGCACATCCTGCAATATGGCATTCATTAAAGCCGCCTTGTACCAAGGCTATGAGGTACGGGAGTCAAAGGAAACCGCATCAGTTCTTCAAGGTCCAACTGTTCGTTCAACGATTGAGCTTTTACCAAAAGCATAAATGCTATGTTGCTCTGTTCTTGATACTGAATCACCTGTAATGGATATATTACAAATAATTAAATCTAAAATAAAACAAGTAAAACAAGTCAACTTTATGTATCAACAAATAATGTAGCAAAACAATCTAAACAATGACACCCAACAGATATATGAAAATGTCACCAGAACGCTTTGATTGTTCTGGTTTAAGAGGCTGACAGCTGTCAATCCTTCTCCGCCTAGCTCATGGTTCAGCGTAATTCGACACTTACATTTTAAAATTTAATAATTTAATACGAGACACAAAAGAAATTTTGAAAGACGTAGTTATTACTTTTCCCTGGGGAGCAGTAAGTTTCACTGTCTTGTTCGAAGCTTCCATTGACTTTAATTTTGACTTCGGTATCGGGTCAAAGAACTTGATAGGCGATGCTCCGTGTGTAAGTCTTTCGGCTATGAATCTTTGCTTGGCTTCCTTTCCCACCAACACTTTCAATTCAAAATCCTTCCGACATGAAGTATGAAACATTGCCTCTCTGGCCACCAGGTCTTCACCTTGTACTAATCGATATAAGGCAAAATCGCCCACCTCAAAAGCCTGCGACTCAATTTGTTGCCATGTTGTGTTTGTGAATTGAACACACCGCTCTGTATTTGCATGTTTCTTTGGTTTCACTTCCAACTTTTTACAGAAGATGCATTCTGGTGGAAACTGATTACTACAGTTAGCAAAAATTCTTGGTGAATGGTGTTTTTGAGAATGTTTTGTACATTCTGCTTTACCTAACCTATCTAGGTTTTTGGTAAAGGCCTGGTAGCACCCACGGTGGTAACCAGTGATGTTCAGGTCTATTCCACATAATGAGGCAGGAATGCTCTTGCATATGTCATGCATGCGATGTGGTGAGTCACATGGTTCAGCTAATCGCTTGTTGCGAATTGAGTGCAGCTGATCTAGTTTTTGTTCAGCAGAGACTTTTAATTTTGTAGAATTTAGTGTTACACAGTCACCATGATTGCTAAGTCCACTGTTGTGAATAATGCACCTAAAGTCTGTGGGTATATTCAGCTGCTCGTCGTACTTCCGTTTTTTACTATTGGACATTTTCTCATTTGTTTAATATTTAACACTACACGTCATTGATGATGAAGGCATTCCACATATCTAAAAAACAAAAATTATTTTTTACTTAGGAAATTCAAAATTAAAATCCAAAATAAACGTATTTTAATCATTGAATACATTGAATACAAAGTTAAATTAGTTTTTGTGACACTGTTAAGTATAGTAATTAGCATTGTGGACTTAAATTGCACCTGTTTCGTGGTAAAACAATTATTTCTACAAATTTAATGCATAAAGAATTTTATTTCAATGCACATTTTTCACATTTCTAATAAATTATTAAAACTGTCTGAGAGCGAGACAACATCAACCAACCCACACTTCCAATGGTTGAATTACACATTTTATGTTCAAACTTACTGGTGTATCCACAGCTCAGCTGGCATTAGCTTGGGAACAAGGCCTGTAAGGCAGGGCTCAGTAGTGGAGTATGTGCAGAGTAGTTTTACTTCTAAAAGCAAAAAAAAATAGGAATTTAGGGTTTTATTTTGGTATAAAATAGCAATAATATGTAAATTATCTTTTATTCTTTTATATAAGTCTAATACTAACACCTCAGGAAAAGAAACCTACAATATTTATATTTGTACAGTTAAAGAAAAAGTTATTGACATTACACATTTGAAAAACACAGACCTTCTGGATCATTCTTGTGTTGTTTCATATACGGTACAATAATGCATCTTCATTTAAGGTCCCATTCTGACTAAGCCAAATGAAGTGTCTGAAATAAAGTAATTCTGACAGAATGGTTTTCAAGTATGTCAAATATATTTTATACAGTAAATATTTGTATAAATTCAATTTAAAATACTGTTACATTAAAATATATAAAGAATATGAAATGTCCCACATAAATAGTTTTATCATTACCTACATGTACATGCATTGATAAATATAAATGATTATATATGTTATATTCAAATAACTTCTATGTTGTAAATGCAATTATTTTATGCTTGTTAATAATAATTATCAATGTTTAGGGGTAATCTAATTTAATAAAAATAACAAGGTACACAACATACCTTCTAAACAGATGAGAATAAATTATAATGCATTTATGGCACGTACCATGTCAACATGGTGGTGCATTGGGACTCTACAGCCACTTGTCAGATTAATTATCAGTATGAATAGCTATCCTCAATCATTGCCTGAAAACAAAAAAAACATGTAAACCTTGACATGATATGTCTTCAAACCCCTTCAGATTGTTAAAGAGGGCAAAAAACAAATTATCCGGATATTGTATGCATCCGACTACTACTCAAGTTTTTTAAGAAAATTAAACAGGGATCCTCTTAGAGAATGTCCATATTTTTACAAAAATGATTATTTATAATACATCATAGCTATAAACATTAATACTCAAATATTTTTACAAATTTGCAGCATTTCAACCGCTCAAAAGCTTTTGTTTATGTGAAGTTCTGGTGCATTTCTTTCTACATTAAAATCTGACATTTTATAATAATAAATTATAAGAAATTCTTTGAGAATTAAAGATTAAATACTGGGCTTTTAATGTTTCATACCTTCTGGTACAATCTACTCTAAAAATCTGTGCAAATTCGTCGGTAAACTTCGTGTGTTCTTCAATGACATTGGAAACTTTCAGATGATTTCATGGCTTAATTATATCAAAGGGGAGTAACTGCGTAATTTGTGAATCTACCTTCCATCTATAAAAATGGCTTTGACTTACTTTTATATCGAGACAATACTAAAAGAGAAATACAATGACAACATACATGTTTTGTAGTTATAATAAAACTCTTATATATATAGAAATAAATTATTATATATACATCATGTATTATTCAGGTAATTTTCGGGTATTTTCAGGTAATTACCCGACTTATATTGAGAGTCCCTTAAATTCATATTTCCTTTCATATCTGAACTTTATGTTTTTCTTTGTACTTGGTCAACATATATCTGTAAATAAATGTGAAAAAATATAGTATAAGAGGTAAAATAAGTTTCTGAGCCGAATTGGAAGCAGCCAGATGCCAAAAAAGACACGTTTTTACCCCCTTTTTGGCATATTTTAAGGCATTTTTCAAAAAGTTACGCTTTTTATAGTGAAACTTTGCTTATATATCCGAAATTCTACGCGGTTCCGATCATTTTGATAAAAAAATGAATTCAAACGGTGAAAAAAGAGTGTTGTATTTGTATTTTAAGCAAAAATGGTATTTTCTTTAATTTTTGGCGGCCATCTTGGCGGCCATCTTGAATTTGGACAACGTGGGAACCCTTGATTTTCTGGGAACATAGATTTTTTTCAAATTTAGACATTCAAGAACATAATAAGCCTGGTTTAAAAAAACCTTCCTGACATGCATCGTAGGCCTTCGTTCCTACTAAGCTATATCTAGAATGAAAGAAAATGCACTAACTGAGAAAAACAATCCGAACACCAGTATCTTTTATTCAGTCGTTTACAGACGTTTTAAGTGTTGTTTACGTGACGTCACAATGTAGCGCCAAACAGCACGTGTGTCAGGAGAAATGTCTGCCTTGATGGTATTTAATCTAAGGAAAATTCAGTAATAAATACTAGAAGCAATTTCCAAGATATGGGGGCTGGGCAGCACCACCTGACATGAAAGTGAAATATTCTCAGTTGGAAAACTAGCATGTATTTGTTTAGTTAACACTATTTTTAGTTTTTTTTATCTGTTTCCATCTCAAATCAATTTATACATTTAAACAAGAAACTATGATTATTATTTACACCCACAACAAAGAACTTTGGTCATTATTTACACCCAAAACACACGTAATTTATCAGCCACTTATACGAAATATCTTTTCACGTATACGTCTTTTATACGAAACAATACTAGACACCTGGCGAGCCCAAGCTCTAAACAACTTATGATCAAACAAAACAATAAAATCACCACAAAATGAATAACACAGAAATGACTATTTTTACAACTCTGTTTGTTTGTTTGTTTCATTTTACGCCTTTTTCCAACAGTATTTCAGTCATATAGGCGGATAGTTTCCTATCCATCGTTCCATGAGAGTTACACCAGTACTAGACCACCTTCCTCCGCGCTAAACTACCAAAGTATCACCCGGGGATTGAACCCACGCAAGAGAGGTAACTTGATTAGAAGTCATCGACTCTAACCCCTCGACCACAACTCTAAGATACGGTATAAACCACAAACATTCATCCAACAATATTTACTACTCACAATCTAATCAGCATCAGAAAAGCAAACTAAAGCACCCAATATTTACATATATCCTCAAAACAAAGCATCAACTAAAATAATCTTGACCAGACAAAAATACAACCAATATCAACCAATTATATCTTCACAAACAGATATAACTCAACCACCAATACAACTAATTACAACCAATAAACCATGATCAATTAAGATCACCACAATTACATTCAACCAACTTCAACAAACCTTCAAAATATCAACAAAAAATAAACGCTACACGCTATCAGCGTGTCTTTCCTAAACTGATGTAAAATCTCTCTCAAACCTCGCATATTTACTAGCTTAAACGATTTGACCTTTACATGTAGATATATTTTATACTCCCAGCAACAGGTTTATAAATAAAACTGTACATTGAAATCTGATCAACTTCAGTGTATCGCTGACTCGTTGTAAAAAAACTATATACAGCGAAACTGTATGATTATTCTGACAACGTGCAAAACAATCAAATCAAGTACGCGATTTTACTGTCGCAAACGAGTTGAATTTTACATTTTATTTCACTTTTAATAATTTGTATTTCGCTTGAAAAATTATAGAGTGAAATTAAATAAACAAACAAAGTTGTATCAACGTTTTCAAAATTCGTTATTCTTAAAATGTTTCTACACACGGTAGATTTTACGATATTTTTTTCCAACCTACTGGAACAGCCTTTAAACCCCCCAACATCCGATCAGACTATCGGACTCTTTCTCACAGCTATTCTGACTCATTGTAGTATATCTAAAAATAGCTGAAGCAGACGATGGGTTTTTACAAAAAAATAAATCTAACTTTAATAATCACATGTCTGCATGTAGATGTTTATTGCATTTCTCTCAAAGAGTCAACAAAATTTAACCAAATTTCTGACCACCAGTTGTATGTTTTCCGTTTTAGGACTTGAGTTTTAACTTTTCTCCTTGATGTCAAAGGGTCAGTTATATCCTTCTCTGATGTCACTTTTCTGTTTACATGTTCATTCCAGTCAAGTGTTGCAATGTTTATTCTAAACCTGTACACTTTTTCAGAAAAGTTTATTCGTTTATCATGATATTGCAACAATGCATTATTGAAACTTACTACATAATATGTATCAATGCAATGTATATAATCTTTTGCAGTTTTATAGATTTGAATGTTTGTAAGAACAGTTTTCAAAAGTTTTTCAGCTTTTGGGTCAGTAATTTTTCTTAATTTCTATCTGTTTTGCATCTGATGTTTCATGACAATTCTTGTGGTTGCCTTTATAATGTTCAACAATGTTTAGTATGCTAGCTTTTAGGTTTTCTTCTTTACCATCACAGTTTTTCATGGCCCAGTAGACATGCGTTTTGATGCTGGCAGCTTTGTCTGATAATTCTTGGTGCCAAGTTGAACCTTCTTTATATTTTGGACCTGAACAAACAGTTTTGACTTGTTTTGTAAGGTTTTTTGTTCCATGCCAGGTATCATTCGTTGATGTTGTTCCACAGAGTTCTGTTTTGATAAATCTGTTCACACTTGCATTTTTGTCTTGGCAATGTAGTGTTACTTGTATGCTTTTGTCTTAGTATATATACCGATCAAAATAATCATATAATTTTTGGGTTCCTATTAGTTCATGTTTTTGAGATGACTGTGAATCTTTATTTGTTACAGGTACAGTTTTAAGGACTCGGTGTGTATTTGCTCCTATACACACAACATCTGTGTTGTATGAATTCTTTCTTGTGCCATGTCGTGCATCAGTCATCATGTTAATGAATTCCTCTCCTGCATTTGATTGTATTTCTGACTTTATTGCAAGATCACATGCTTCTTCTGTCATTTCACGTACAACATTGCTGTATTTCGAAAACACTTCATTAATGCAGCTTTCTCTAAGACAGCCTATACCAGCAGCTGATGACAATCTACAGAACTGATTAGGAAATATTCCTGACACGAAGTATCCATGCAGCATTCTAAAATTAGCCAAATATTTCTGTCCCAACTACTCCATGTCAAACTATGTTTGCTTTTGCATGTAAATTTTAGGACACCCACAGGTCCAAAGTAATTGGTAGAGGATAATATGAGCTGTTACTCACATGATTTTGAGTGAGTTACAACACGCTTTATTAAATTATCTATGTTGCTTGAAGATTTAAGAAAGAACCGATCTTCACCATAGTCTTCATTAATACTTTGAAACGAAGTATCGTAATAGCTGTCACCCTTTTGATTCTCTTGACTCTCAGATGTTGATTGATTGGTCTCAATATATCGAGCCTTGTACGAACTCAAAACTTCTAACAATAACTGTTTTGATGTTACATTGTTAGGATTTCCTTCACCTAAATGTGGTTTTATATATCTAACAAAGTCCAAAATATCCTGCTTTTTCTGCTCATTTTGACACATAAATCCAATTTTGCCTTACGTTGTCACTGAAGAGCAAAAACTTACAATTGAAGCTCTTTTCAACAACAATAATTGAATTTTATAACAGTTTCACCAACAAAGGAGAGAAATGAGGACACTGACGAAGCTCACAACATATCACAGGAAACTGGACATATAGATAGCACTGACAAAGAGACAGCTTGAACAAGTACTGATACAAGGCAAAGATCAGTGGAAAATAGTGAATCAGTTTCTGATTCCACAGATGATAAATCGTGTGAATACTGTTTTTGTTCTCCTTGTGTAACTGCAAATGAACAGTCCTGGATGGGAAAGGGGTCAAGGTCAAATACAACAAATAGGATTTCAAGAAAAATCAGATACAAAAATTTTTTGTCAATGTTGGAAAGAAGAAATGCTTGGCGTTAAAGAAAGTACCTGAGAAAAAAAGCTCGACTTCTTGGAAGAATTGACGAGAGCACTGTTTTTGTCCAACGAGACATAATGCCCGATTGTGTTTTAACTTAAGTAAGGGAAAGGTATCCTAATCCATCAGGACAACCCTACACTGGACACTTTTGGTGACCTTAGCCATTAAAATGGAAAAAGTACAATTTATTACTTGAATATAATGTGCTGTGAATTTGATAACTTACAAAAGTGAGAAATACAGTCAAAGAGTAAATAGTTATTTTTGTTTGTTTTCGTTGTGAAATTTACTGGATTTATGAACTTTTAATAGCTGTTCTACAATTAGTAAGATTCAAATTTGGATTTATGGCAAAACTCAGAAAAACTGTTATATCAAGTAAGTAACACATTGATTTCCATATTGCATGTGCATGGATTGCCATGTGATCACATTGCTTTGTTTACCTTGAGAAGGTGACATATAGGGGTTACATTTGTCAGCGGCGTCGGCGGCGTCTGTGTCGTTGTCGGCGTCGTTGTCGGCGTCCCCTTAAGCTTGTCCGGAGCATAACTCAGTCACTATAAGTCTGATTGACTTTAAACTTGGTATGCATGCTACTTTCAATAACCCGAAGTGCAGTGCACAAGGACCGGTACTCTGCAGCTCTTATTTTTTTGAGTTATTGCCCTTTGTTAATTTTCATACTTTAATTTTGTCCGGGCCATTTCTTTTAAACTAAAAAAGCTATTGACTTGAAACTTCATGGAATGATAGATCTCATTTAGAA